TGTGTCATTTGTATCGATCTTGTGAACCATCCATCTGTACACGTAGTGTGGCTCAAATTCGTTTGCAAAGCTCTTTCATCGAGTGAAACATGGGGCCCAGCAGCCCTAAATTTCTATAATTTTAAAGGTGTTGCACCATAATTGGCTTATCTTCATGGACAGTACGAACATAACACCGGCCAACGTGACTGCTTTAACATAATTGGAGCTTTTTGTATTAATTAAAGATTTTAGCGCGGTGTCGTTTGCATCACCATTGACCATACTTTGATGGTGACCAGATAAAGAATCGAACATTTATTCTGAAATATCTTATTTTTTTCTTGAAAATCAACTCATACTATATTATACTACCCTTCTAATCGGATTCACTGAAATTGAAGTAGAATATTGAAAGAAAATGTGAGGGTAATTTATCATTACAGATCCTTCTGATCCAATTCGGTGAAATTGAAGGGAAATTGGGTGAATTGTGCAGAAATTGCACGGAGTTGAGTAGAATTAGTCGATAATTTGAGTTTGCAACTGAGGGGGAAAAAAGTGGGATTGGATGCGGAATTCTGATTTACGAGTTGGAATTGAAGATAGACAAGGAGCGATTTAATAGTGATATCAAGGAAAGCAATTGGTCAATTTTTGCTGGGTAAATTATCGATATCATTTTTTTCCCTCTTTTTTGTTTTAGGTTTGGTTGAATTGTACTTGAATTTTGTGAATTTAGAGTGCTGATTACCAGTATTTGTGATTTACACATAATTGTTTAATTTCTGTCACTGTCTATAATTTTTTTTTACCTTTCTTAGAAGATTTTTATATAGTGTTCCTTTGAATTTTTAAAAATGGAATAAAATGGGAAAGTTCATCTTTTCAACACAAGTCAGCTCTTTTTCTACACAGTTAATGTCCTGAAATTTCATTATGGAAACTACTTCATTATACTGAATGTGGGAAGAATTTCTTCTAAACGAAAGCAAATTTGCGTAAAAGAGATAGTCTTCAAAAATATTTTTGTTGGGTTTCTCAATTGAATGAAGTGAAGTCCATTCATTAGTTGAAAGCATGTTTAAAATTCAAATCTCGGAATTATTCTGTATGATTTCTTTATAAGTTTTATCACTTGATTAAGTGCAGTCCACTCATTAGTTGAATGAATGTTTAAAATCTTGGAATTATCCTGTAAATACTCTGCATCTGTATTTTCCTTATTGAGCATTGCATTTGAGATTAATCGTTTTTGAATTTTTTCTCTTCCTTGTTTCTGTACAATATGCAGTACAGTCATTTGTCCTGTTATAACTAATGGTGCATTGCATCAAACATTTGTCGTTATTTGGATGGTATTGATTGATTGGTCACATTAGACAGCCACATGGTTTAGCTGTCCCTTGAAAGGCGGACAAAATGTGTGAGGACTGTCCATGATCATAGGAACGAGAACATGTTAATTATACAATGCATCTAAAATAATGGAAACTATCACGAGTTAGAATGATATTCTTAAGGTTCATTTGTATGGAATGCTCCTGGATGATGTGATAGGTGCACTTATGTAGGCCCAGTTTTTTTTAGGATTCCTTGTTCTATAACTATGTGTTGCATATGGATCCTTTGGAATTTGATCCGTATTGTAATCATTTCAGTTGTATGGCAACTCATGTTGAGCCTCCGAATGGGGTGGGAACACCAGGGAAGCATTACTATTCCATGTGGCAAACACTGTTCGAGATTGATACGAAGTATGTGCCAATCAAGCCTATTGGTCGAGGGGCGTATGGTATTGTCTGCTCGTCTGTCAACAGGGAAACCAGTGAAAAGGTTGCAATCAAAAAGATATATAATGCCTTTGAAAACCGCATTGATGCACTAAGAACTCTGCGTGAATTGAAGCTCCTCCGCCATCTTAGACATGAAAACATCATAGCTCTGAAGGATGTTATGCTTCCAAATCATAAGAGAAGCTTCAAGGACGTCTACTTGGTTTATGAGCTTATGGATACTGATTTGCATCAGATAATTAAGTCGTCCCAAACACTGTCGAATGATCATTGTCAGTATTTCCTATTCCAGGTACATAGGGTGATTATTCAATAAGCCATGTTCATTCCCTTGCAACTTCTGCTCTTAACTTGCATTATTACAATGGCGAGGAACTTCTGAAGCAAAAATTGATAATAATGAAAATAGAAGAAATAATTTTTTACATATTTGATCGCCTATACAAAGCTTCACCTTGTGCTTGGCAGATCTGATTACTTGACATATTTTGTATATTACAATGCAGTTACTTAGAGGTCTGAAGTATCTACACTCAGCAAACATTCTTCATCGGGATTTGAAGCCTGGGAACCTACTTATCAACGCAAACTGTGAACTGAAAATATGCGATTTTGGGCTAGCACGGCTATGAACACATGGTTTAAGATCATCAAAAATCATTCTATTCCTCGCCATCCAAATTTGGTAGGCTGTGCAAGCAAGTGCAATCAGGGACGGATCCAGGATTGGATCCAAGATCGGTTTACAAAATTTCAAACCGGGCTACTACGTGGAAAAAAATTTTACACATAAAAAAACTAGTATTTTACCCAAAAAAAAAAAAAAAACCTTTAAAAAAGCTATTTGCCATAGGGGGTGGGGCTACAACCCAGCCCAGCCCCCAACTAAATTCGTCTCTCAGTGCAATTCTCTTGCCCTTAGCTTGCCAAGATGTGCCTCGAGCTTTTTTCTTCATCCACTTTAATGCACTAAGTATTGTCGTCATCGACCTTTTAATTCCTAACCAATCTTTAATATGCCCCCAGATATTTGTCACATTGGAAAAAAAATGTGTTTCCTATATTCTAGGTTTGAATCACAAAAGACACACGTTCTATCAATGTTAAGATACATTAACATGCTTTTTTTTATTCTAGTGTTGGAAATACGTATAAAAAATAACTTGTTTTTAATTTTGACCTTAAAAGATTTAATTATTTTATAATAAACTAATTTACTTCAAAATAACTTGCTTATAAGTACAATTTTAAGCTTAGTCAAACATGGACTAATGAGTTGTGAAAAAGACCAGAAAGATGCCTCATTTAACAATAAAAAGTTGCCTAACACAGAACCCCCAACCCCACGCCCACGCTCACCCCCCAACCAAAGCAAGGTATATATGCTACCTTGATTGTTAATTGCTTCATGTAAATAATTTAAACTTTTAGATAAAGTAGTTAATTTGTTGCTCAATTCTTATAGTCAATTCATAAAAAAAATTGTACACATATTAAACTTTTAATGAAAAATAAACGTCTTCAACAAATAAGGGAGTAAGTAAGTAAATGCCACATTCACCTCCCAGGGCATAATCCAATGGTACAAAGGATAGGAGTATGATTATTTCACGCCTTGCTGGCAGTCGCAAGGGGTTCAATTCTTGAAATATGGAATTGGACTCCTTATAGGCGCAGTGTATAAACAGCTTTTGTTCCCTAACTTTCTGGGACATATCCTGCGATTTACCTTCCCCCACAAAATTCTAGGGGCGGGGTGGTAGAGGCTCTCAAAGTTAGGGTTCAATCTTTTGAGTAAATGCCACATTCATCACCATGTGATCGAGAAAGGCTACTCAATTTAACCCGATCTCACATTTTCTTTTTACATTTTGCGTATAATTTGTTTACCCCGTAAAAGTTTAAACACAAACATTAAATTCTCTCCATGTTCTTGATCGGATTTATAGCATAAATATAATGGATATTCAAATATTCCTCAAAGATTCTGTTAATCCAAGTCCATGGAATTAATATGTCAATCTAAAAGACATTACTACAAAAGAATCATATTACTGGTAACTAATTGTGTTCTTCACCAATGTAGGTGGCAGTAGTCCTGAATCATTGTTCAATGAGTTATCACCTGGATTGATGATGATCATAATTAATAATTAATAGCATTACTCTACGATAAATTCGTTATCACCGACGCGTTACCAAACATGAGTTTTTTAACGTTAACCTCCAAAATATAAAGGATTAAAGAAAGTTATTAAATTAGAATTTATTTAATCAAATTGTATAATCTTAACTTCTTCTTTTTTTAACTTATAAACTTAGAAAAATACCGAACATTAAAAAGTTGCCTAACACAGAACCCCCAACCCCACCCCCACGCTCACCCCCCAACCAAAGCAAGGTATATATACTACCTTGATTGTTAATTGCTTCATGTAAATAATTTAAACTTTTAGATAAAGTAGTTAATTTGTTGCTCAATTCTTATAGTCAATTCATAAAAAAAATTGTACACATATTAAACTTTTAATGAAAAATAAACGTCTTCAACAAATAAGGGAGTAAGTAAGTAAATGCCACATTCACCTCCCAGGGCATAATCCAATGGTACAAAGGATAGGAGTGGGATTATTTCACGCCTTGCTGGCAGTCGCAGGGGGTTCAATTCTTGAAATATGGAATTGGACTCCTTATAGGCGCAGTGTATAAACAACTTTTGTTCCCTAACTTTCTGGGACATATTCTGCGATTTACCTCCCCTCACAAAATTCTAGGGGCGGGGTGGTAGAGACTCTCAAGGTTAGGGTTCAATCTTTTGAGTAAATGCCACATTCATCACCATGTGATCGAGAAAGGCTACTCAATTTAACCCGATCTCACATTTTCTTTTTACATTTTGCGTATAATTTGTTTACCCCGTAAAAGTTTAAACACAAACATTAAATTCTCTCCATGTTCTTGATCGGATTTATAGCATAAATATAATGGATATTCAAATATTCCTCAAAGATTCTGTTAATCCAAGTCCATGGAATTAATATGTCAATCTAAAAGACATTACTACAAAAGAATCATATTACTGGTAACTAATTGTGTTCTTCACCAATGTAGGTGGCAGTAGTCCTGAATCATTGTTCAATGAGTTATCACCTGGATTGATGATGATCATAATTAATAATTAATAGCATTACTCTACGATAAATTCGTTATCACCGACGCGTTACCAAACATGAGTTTTTTAACGTTAACCTCCAAAATATAAAGGATTAAAGAAAGTTATTAAATTAGAATTTATTTAATCAAATTGTATAATCTTAACTTCTTCTTTTTTTAACTTATAAACTTAGAAAAATACCGAACATAGTAATTTGAAATGTGTTTTGTTTTTTATTTTTTTTTCTAATATTTAAAAAAAAAAAAAAAAAGGCTAGCTGGAAAAGCTTTCTATAGTTGTGCAGTGAGCTTGCAAAAAAAATTTGACCTAGTAGACCTTGATGAAAATTTATGAAATTTTAGAGGAAAGAATAAAACTCATATAAGTACAACATAAAAAATTTGGAATCTCAACGACAACGTTTGGAGCATGAAATTATTTTTCAAACAAGCTGGCCCGTGTTTCCCGAATTTGACTGTCACAGTTTTCTAAAATTGCTATAATATATTTTATGGGACTCCGATAGACCGGTTTTCAATTGCATATGATAGATAACTCACATCATTTCCAATTAAAAACAAGCCAAAATTCTAAATATACCGACCATAGTACAATTTTAAAAACAGTGGCAGAATGCTAGAAGTTACTAAAACACATAGTCAAACGTTAAAATTTTCTGTCTCAAAACATGAATTTAAACTACAATTTCTAGGACACCTCGTGATTATTAAACATAAAATGACAATCTAAAACATAATAAATAAATATCTCTAAAAATAACATATATATGACATTTGTGGTGAACCACCGTAGGATCTCCAATTACTCTGAAAAAGTTAAATAGAAGTAAGCATATATATATATATACACACACACACACTCAACAAGCTGTACATGCTATAAGAACATAATAATCATATATTTAATTATGCATCCTTACAAATTGCCTTTATAAATAAGTAAATCAATAATCAAACGACGAGTTCTTTAACATTAACCTCCAAAATATAAAGGATTAAAGAAAGAAATTAAATTAGAATTTATTTAATCAAATTGTATAATCTTAACTTCTTCTTTTTTTAACTTATAAACTTAGAAAAATACCGAACATAGTTAAACATGTAATCTTTCTTGCATCAACATTTAAGAGAAATCCTTAAAGGCATTTCATATACTTCATGAGCAAACATAATGGATAACACGTTTAAATGAAAATTTAATTCATATAACAATAACTTTGCATAGGGATCCTACTTTAATTTGTGGTGATGACGTAGTGACTACATTGAATCGAAATTCTTTCCAAAACTTTTCTAAAGACTAGTTTGCCACCTGTGCAATGCATGGGTTGAATTATTTTGAACGTAATGTTAGCATTTTTAATGTTGGTATGAGTTTAGTGATTAAAGAAGTTGAAGAAAATTTATGAAATTTTAGAGGAAAGAATAAAACTCATATAAGTACAACATAAAAAATTTGGAATCTCAACGACAACGTTTGGAGCATGAAATTATTTTTCAAACAAGCTGGCCCGTGTTTCCTGAATTTGACTGTCACAGTTTTCTAAAATTGCTATAATATATTTTATGGGACTCCGATAGACCGGTTTTCAATTGCATATGATAGATAACTCACATCATTTCCAATTAAAAACATGCCAAAATTCTAAATATACCGACCATAGTACAATTTTAAAAACAGTGGCAGAATGCTAGAAGTTACTAAAACACATAGTCAAACGTTAAAATTTTCTGTCTCAAAACATGAATTTAAACTACAATTTCTAGGACACCTCGTGATTATTAAACATAAAATGACAATCTAAAACATAATAAATAAATATCTCTAAAAATAACATATATATGACATTTGTGGTGAACCACCGTAGGATCTCCAATTACTCTGAAAAAGTTAAATAGAAGTAAGCATATATATATATATACACACACACACACTCAACAAGCTGTACATGCTATAAGAACATAATAATCATATATTTAATTATGCATCCTTACAAATTGCCTTTATAAATAAGTAAATCAATAATCAAACGATCTATTTAAAGTTCTAATGAATCTTTATGACCATCGTTTAAACATGTAATCTTTCTTGCATCAACATTTAAGAGAAATCCTTAAAGGCATTTCATATACTTCATGAGCAAACATAATGGATAACACGTTTAAATGAAAATTTAATTCATATAACAATAACTTTGCAGAGGGATCCTACTTTAATTCGTGGTGATGACGTAGTGACTACATTGAATCGAAATTCTTTCCAAAACTTTTCTAAAGACTAGTTTGCCACCTGTGCAATGCATGGGTTGAATTATTTTGAACGTAATGTTAGCATTTTTAATGTTGGTATGAGTTTAGTGATTAAAGAAGAACCAATTAGTTGTAAATGTAATAAAATGAGGTAAGTTATTTATGATATTAAGGTATGAATGGAATTGTTGAATATACTAGTCATTTG